ATCTTCCTCTGACAATAAGACTGTCTCCGCTGACTTTCTTGTCCCTGTCATGCTTCCTCTGAAGTTGTTTAGCTCTAATCAGAGATTGAACCTCCTTGAGAGTAATAGTCTGCACCCTTCCATAAAACATCGCATCCTTGAAATGCTCGTAGCTCTTAGGAATAGAGTTTAGCAACAGCAATGTCTTGTCCTCATCGTCCATCTTGACGTCAATTTTCTTGAGGTCATCAATGATCTTGTTGAACTCGTCGATCTGCTCTGAGACAGATTTGTCTTCATGCATTTTGAAAAAGTATAGGCGCTGCTTCAGAAAGATTCTATTAGCCAAAGACTTTGTCAGGTAGAGTACCTCGAGTTTGGCCCAAAGTGCTTTAGCCGTTGTCTCCCTCGACACCTCCCTCAGAACTTTGTCGCCCAAGCTCAGGATTATCAAACTGTGGGTCTTGTCCAATATGCCGATCTTCTCCTTCTCGATCATATCGGCCGGCAATGCCGCCGACCCTTGCAAGGCTTCTGCAACACCCTGCTGGACCAATAGAGCTCTCATCTTTACTTTCCATAAGCCGAAGTCGTTCTTCCCGTTGAATTTCTCAATGTCGAATTTGACGGAACTCATTTTCGTGGCTAGGATTTCTTCCAATGAATTCTACCTGCTGCCCTTCCAAGAACTAGGCTGAAATCACCAAAATGTTGCACTTCTCCCCGTGAACTCCACTGCCTTCGCCAACCTAACAGAGAGCTCTGATCCCTTCTGGCAGAGATCACACCTGTTCACCAAAGAAAACTTCCTGTTCTGTGCTTGCGACTCATTCCCGCAGGCACTCCTCTGCATCTAGCGGACAAATCAGGAATTCCTCCTCTGCCTCTTGCACAAGAATGACTGCCTCTCCAGAGCCGTCGTGCCTCGCCAAACTGCTCAGGTCCTCCTGCTTCGAGAACTCCCGAACAAGGAACTCCCAGAACCCTTCTCTGCGGGATCTCCGTCTCTTCCCTCTGACCGAGCTGCTCGCAATACCGGCCCAAGACCGACCTCCTGCTCCGAAACCCTCTGCGGGCAGCCCTGTCGCAAATTTTCGGCCCTCGCTCGCGGACTGTTCCTCCTCCGTCTCGCAGTTTCGCCGAACCGCACAACCTGCGGTGTGAATCCAGTCGATCAAAGCTTCCACTGCTCACCGAATCTGACGCGATTTGGCTGCCTGCGATGCGATCTGTTTGCTCCTCTGTTCGTGAATGCCGAACTCCTCTTCTTTGTGGTTGGCAGTGAACACCTTTACGCGGACACTTCTAGCAGGCATGTATGTAAATGCTCCATTAAAAAGAAATGTACACGACCAAAACTTCATATTATAAATTCATGCATGGATGTAATATTAAACATTCAATATGAAAGTCTTGGCAGAGAGATACGTGTTGTGAAAAATGACGATAATAAAGTGAAAAATGAAACGAGAAATATTGCACGCAGAAAAAACACCAGAGCGCACATACATTTACGTGGTTCGACAAATTTGCCTATTTCCACGGAACTGCAGAGGATTTTATTTCTTTGAGGAATTACACATTCGAGCACCTCGTCGTTTACAATAAAATCTCTATTTTATTCTCTCCCTTCCCCTCTCTCTCTCTTCCTCACTTTATCTTAGAGGACTTGACTTGGCTTAAGACAAGCCATACGAGACTATTTATAAAAGGTAGGTGGAAGGTAGGTGAACGGTAGGTGAATGATATGTGAGATGTGGTAGGTGAGTGGCACCACATTATAAAAGTACCCTTTTACCTTAGTTCATTAATTGAGGGTCAAAATAACAATTAGACTATTGCATTCCATTTTGAATATAGTAAACATATTTATTTATGAATAGATGAATGCACAGTGTCACATAAGTAATGCATGCTATAAAGAGTGAAATTAGTGTATATATAAATGTTTATTTGTGCATGTTATGAGGAGGAGTTCACCCTTTTATGGTACAGACTGGGTATGCTAATGTACCACACACGTAGATGTTTTTCCTACCATCTCAAACAATTGTGAAACAATTATGATGGCAGTTGGAGAAGGTGGTGGCTTGCAACTAGTGTGAAACAATTATGATGGCAGTTGGAGAAGGTGGTTTTCCTGCAACTCTTGGCAGTTGGAGAAGGTGGTGGCTTGCAACTAGAGTTGCAGGAAAACAACTAGAGTGTTGTCCAGTGGTTCTGACAATGAGTAAAGGCGGCGAAAGTGACAAAACGAGGGTAAATGAGGGTTGCAGAGGATGGGAGATCAAGGATGAAAATCTCCATGGGATCAAACTACAGTTGAAAAACATTTCGATCCTTGGAAGACAGTCACCACCTCAGAAGAGTTACAATCGAAGCAACTTCTCGCCTTCGAATACAAGACTAGAAGAGAAAAACAGGAAGCTGATGATTGCCCTGATAGATACACAAGCAAAATCTCAAAACCTAAACAAAGAAATAAAAAATATAAACCCTAAATAATTAGGATGGGGCCCATAACAGAAAGGAGGAGCCCCATCCAAATGAGGGAGCCGGTCGAATCTCCCTCTTGCTTGGACCAATTGGTCCAGGCACTCGAAGACCGGTCCAGGAGCTCAAATCACGAGGATCCCGCGGGTGTGCATCCCGTTTCCGAAGTGGGAGAAGCTCCCGCGTCTCGCACCAAAAGCTCCCACACCAACTTGGATCCATACAACATTACTAGCCTAATTAGGGTTTTGTAAAATTTACTACTGACTTTCCAAGATCTCATATTGCGAAATACTACTCTTCATTCCTCTGTATCATAGGAAAAAAAATTAAAAACAACCAACTATTAAGAAGTTTCATTAGTTACTACAGAAAAAAATAAACTGCTGTGAACTAACAAAAAAATCATAAGCCTTTCGTGGATTTGGACCTATAAATGAAGAAATAAATGATGCTTTTCCCATTAAGTCCTGTCCCATAAACTTAATCTATATTTTGTTAACACAAGTTTTACACTTTAATATTAATTTTCAATAAAGTAAGTAACTGACGCATAATAATCCGAAAGCAAAATTCCCTGTCACAGGCCATGCTAACTTCCCCGATTGCAAAATATTTAACGTAACATGGCCAACAAAACTCCACAACGTTGAACAAATAATTACCTGTCCTGGTAAAGTTCGAGCAAGAACAAAAGGAATGTCTTTTGGCTGGGAAATGAACATTAGCTGATGGATAACAGATGCAGATAGAACATTGACAAAGAAAACATTCCAAATCGTGAAGTATAACACTTTGCAACAAGCACTCTTCTTTCTGCCACTACGGGAGATAGCTCCTTCCACGGTAGAAAATAGCATCATTATTGGAGGTACAGAATAAAAAAATACGAGTAAGATAACACTGGGAAGATAGCCCGTTACCAGTTGGATCATGTATTTCCTGTGTAAAAAATACTTCCATGTATCAGTACCAAATCATTCTTCTGCAGAATTCATAATGGATTCTATAGGAAGAAATAAAGCTACTCATGTATTGTCATCATAATCATCAGCCTTATCCCAAGTATTTGGCACTCTGTTGTAGAGCAATACTAGAAAACAAAATAAAAAACTGGGAAAAAAAAAGAAATTGAAACTTACATTAGTGCAGCAGATACAAAAAAAGCCACTAAGGAAAAGTAAACGTGAAGACATGAAAAAAATATTAACTTCTGGCTGCTAAAAGAGAGAGAGAGAGAGAGAGGGGGAGAGTGAAAACATGAAAAAAATATTAACTTCTGGCTGTTAAAAAAAAAGAGCCTACTAGAATAGAAGTTGGAGATTATAAAAAGTTTAAAATTCAGCAGTTGTTCATTCCCGTTCACAATATTAAGCATCAATTTAGCATGAATGATCGCTAATGCGATTATCTTATTTACAATCTAATTTACCTTCTAAAAATTTAATCCGGAACCTTAACTCAAAACTCTATTTTCTCATCATTCAAGGGAGGTCAAGGCAGTTTTTGGAGCCTACGCCTGCTTATAGGATTTCCGAAGAATGTAAACCCCAATCTAAATAATTCGACCAGTACAAAGCCAACAAGTATGTTAAACTAGCCTACATCATCAGAATAGCATAAAGCAAGCATGCCTATCAGAGCAAATTAATTCATAAGCGTTTCTAGGAATGAAAATCCCATATAAAGTATGGATTAACTCCTATGATAACAAGTTCATTAATCAAAATCAAACCCACCGTTTAAACCCATATGTGGCTTAGCCGTGTGTTTGAGCTAAAACCAAAATTATGGGTAACTGATGGTCATGCCAAGCCTATGAGCTCCTGTCAGTCATTTTCAATAGCTCTATATTATAAGAAAATATGTTCTTGTACAGCTAGCCCTCTACAAGTGTGAAGTAAACATTAACCATAAAAACAAATATTTGTGACACATATATCTATCCTAATTACCTCGAGATACTTGAGATGAAGTTGTCATTGGTTGGTAATCAAACTTAATAAATATTATGGCTCAATGCCCTCTATTGTTGGTAGACTAGATATGTTAGTGGGTTTGGAATGATGAAACTATAAGATCTTCATTGAAGTTACATCCATTTTCCTTACCATTTCCACTCAATTATTTTATATTTAACCAATAAAATTGAGGCTAAACAATTTCTTAATTGAAAGCGCTCTCCCACAAGCAAAAGAGAGAATTAAATATGGGGCTTGCAACCATAAAAAATCGCAACTCCAGTTCTAACAAATATTATAAACTTTATCAATAGGAGAAATTTTATTAAATTAAACACAATCTACCTTCAAGAAATCTCAGTTTTATTTCATCACATCAAGAATGTTCAAAATCTGGTGGCTTTCTTCAGCAATCACTAGCACATTAAAATGTTGACCTATATTATAGACCTTTCAGGTGGTGGACACTTGGTCATAGATCATGAATACCATAAATGAAACATACATGTTGTAAAAGTCCAAGGAGTTCACTCCTGATACATTGCATATATTTTCTAGATTCTCTAGGTATTTTAGATAATGCTCTTTGGTATCATTTACAAAATTATACACACAAGAAAACAAATTTTTGGTCATAAACTTTCATTTAATAGTGTTGTGAGATATGTACTTCCTGGCATAGAAATGAGACGAAAAAGAACACAAACAAACACAGATCGTTTACGTGGTTCGATCCAACTGGATCTACGTCCACGGAAGGGAATCAATCAAATAGTTCACTAAGGCAAAAGAAATGGAGAATACATAGCTTATACATAGAGATGAGCCCTCATCTTCCTTCTATGACCTCCCTCTCAAGCGACACCTTGATACAAGGCCTCAAGATGCTCTCCTCCTCTCTAGCTCTCTAGCTATTCTCTCCTCCTTCGTGGTAGCTTAAAATCTCTTCCCTTACTCTCCTAAGCCTCACACCCTCTCTATTTATAGAAGTAAAGAGTGGTAGGTGGGAGGTAGGTGAACGGTAGGTGAGATGTGGTAGATGAGCGGTACCACATTACAAAAATGTCCTTTTACCTTAGTTCAATAATTGGGGGTCAAAACAACAATTCTCCACCTTGACCCTCAATTGAGAAGCTTC